CCCCCCCCCCCCCCCCCCCGGGGAACGTAGGATCGTACTGTAAATCAGCTGAGCTAATCATCAAAGCTGTCTTCTGTAGTTGTTACGCTGGTGATAAACTGGCGACAATTCACTGTCAGCTGCGTCCTCAGCGCTCGGGCGTAATCAGTGACTTGGCCTCCGGCCAGAGAGCCCCCTGTGGACGGAGGCTTTTACGGCTACGGCTAAGTGCTCTCTATTTATTTGAGCCCGGAACCTCCTCTTTAGACACCATCGTCGTGACTCACTCTGGCTTTTGTCACTGATTGGGCCGTCGTATTGGCGGAATGTTTCTTTGTTTTAATCACCTGTAAAGAATTTGAATTGACTTTCACTGACCTCCAGGGTCAAGAGTGTCCCGCAGGAGTGCGCATTTCCTCTTTGTTGGCGGTCAAACACTGAGGACGTTTGGCAGTTTCAATGAATGTCTTCATTTAGTTCAGTGTTTTTTTTTTTGCAAACAGGACTTTATTTAGTCCAGCCTTTCCACATTGACTACGTCACAGCCATTACTTCAAAACTCTTTATTCAAAACACTTGCTACATTCTTAGAAAAACCTAATATTACCAATGGCAGACAAAAACCCATTTGCTCCACAGAGCCATCCCTGCAAAAGCTCAATGTCCCCCCAGGAGGGCTGACTTTTGTGCAACGGCAAAAGCGAGAGATAATATTGATCAGTCACTTGTGTTTGTCCGGCATGATTCAGCTCAAACATGGTTAGAGATGCTCTCAGTTAGAGCACAGTTCCCAACTGTGAAGAGACGGTAAAAAGAGCAGTCCGCAAAGTCAAGAACAAGGTTTGTCGCTCAATTTTGACCTTTAAGAGGCGCATGTACGTGTGTGTGTGTGTGTATATATGTATATATATATTTCTGCTGGATCTGCCTATATAGCTAACTGTTTATTTCATTTAATTGTTCAATTACTCAACTATGTATACTGTTAAAATTATACTAGTTCTAGAGATAATGTGGTATACTTAGTGTAAATACAAATATATATATATATACAGTATATGTGTATATATATATATATGTATATGTATATATATATGTATATGTATATATATATATATATATATGTGTATATGTATATATATATATA